TTGTGATGAAAAATCACGCCGGTGCTCTATCGAGCCGAAGTCGTGGGTTCGAGTCCCGCTCGTGACACTAACTTTTTCATTTCAGCCACACTGCAATTTCAATTATTGACTGCTTTAAATGTCGTATGTTATTAAACAAAAGCGTTTTTCTCCCATGCTGTCATTTCAAAACAATTCAACAGGATAATGATATTATTGTTGTTTTGTTTTTGTATCCCTGCGGGAGTTTTGTTTTTACTAAGCCAAAAATTAAAACATATTTCCCGTTTTCTTTTATATCTCTAAGATTTAAGTAGTCAGATCTGTTTAAAAAAAATAATTCTTATGAGTTTAATTGCTAAATAGGTGCAAAATATTATACCAAATTGAGTTTTACACCTTCTATGAAGAGTGACTGATCATCTTTATATACAGGGTGTCCTATTGAGATGGCCTGGTTGAATTTCTCTTGAACCAATGACGCTATAAAAAAAAGTGTTTAATATATTTTAATCTTGTTTCAAACTTTAAACTTTTTTTGGAGAAAAATAATACAGGGTACCTCAGGCCGAGTTCAACTTCAAAATTTCAACAACGACCCAATACATCCTAACCCGTCGCTTTAAATGATTTTATACGTTGAAAACAATGGTGCAATCGGATTTTAAATTGGTTAAAAAATGACCAAGTTATGGAAAAATTAAAAAAAAAGCAGTCATTTGTTTTGCTATTTCTTAATAACATTTCATGTTCGAACTGCCTGCCTTGCTTAAAGATGTAAAGATTTGCTCTTTTTAACCAATCTTCACCGGTGCTCAGACAGGGGAGATGGATTGACAAGCATTTTCTATCCTTTGCAGCAGCTCTTCAACTGAGGTTGCTCGGTTATGATTGGCATAGATACTAGTTTTTAAATGGCCCTAAAGAAAATAGCCAAGTTATATCGGGGGAGGGAGCAGGCCAACAGATCGGACCATGAGGTCCTATCCACCTGTCCCGGAAGTGACAATTCAAATAACGTTTCATATGTAAAGATTTGTGTGCGAGGCATCATCAAGCTGGAGAATAATTGTTTGTCTTTGTTGGAAAGGAACATCCTCTATTAGTGTTGGTAAAACGTGCCTCAAAAATTGAGGAACTGAGCACCAAATTATTTTCGTAGAGTGATAAGGCCCAATTAATCTATTTCCGAGAAGTCTACAGCAAACTTTGATTGTGTGAACCATCTGAAGATGACAAGAGTACGAATTTCTCGGATTTACTTCTGCCCGCGTTCGTAAATTCCAACGGTTTAGTGTGCCGATGGATGTGAACTATCATCAGTCCATAGGATGTACGGAAGAAAGTTTTCTTCCGCTTCCCAAATCGACGTTTGTGCAAGGAACGTTAGACGCCTATCATAATCAGAATCCCGAAGCCCCTGGACAAGATGAGAGCGATACGGCTTAAAATTGTAAGTCCGAAGTACATATCTAATTGTCTAATTTCGGAGAGAGGAATTCGGATTTTCTTACAGTAAAATATTTCTTCGTCGAAATAACGCTGCCGGTTTCTTGGTGAACAGCAACTGATCCGTATCTCAAATGGCATGTGTTCGGGCCCGAGACCACCAGCTCCAGATCGTGGAAGTTGGCTATGGATAAGGGAGAAAAGACCGCTTTTACACAATTTGGAATATAACTCGAGAAAACCGTGAGAGCAGAGAAGCAAGGAGGCAAATGCTTACCATACTTAATAAAAGGTATGAAAAGGCACATGGGGGGACAAATTGGGTTTTGGGAAGAAAATGGACAAGAAGCTTCTGAAAATGACATTACCACGCACTCTGTGGATAACAAAAGAAAATGTTTCCCGGCGTAAAAAATCGGTACATTAGTTACACATACTTATGTTAATGTAAGACAAATTAAACGAGATCAGAACTTCATGAGTTTTAATACATGAAATATTTAATTACAATGGTTTGAAAGAAATTTCACCAAAACACCGGAAAACAATTTATGAATAATAAAATGAAATTTAACTAACATTATTTATTACATCTATGAGGTTTCGTGGACCGATGGACCAAATAAATTCTTTTCAATTAATTAATCTTTAATTAAGGTTTTGGTTGAGATAAAAAAAGTCAGTGTCACGAGCGGGATTCGAACCCACGATCTTCGGCTAAATAGCCCGCTGCTCTACCACTTGAGCTATCATGACTTCGATCCACTCGGACACCAACTTCCCACCTCAAACCCGCCTTTCGAATTTTCCCTCCTTTCTGCCATTTTTCGTGGGTTCGAATCCCGCTCGTGACACTGGCTTTTATATCTCAACCAATACCTTACATAAAGTATAATGTGTGGTGATTAGTGAACGCATTTGGCACGATAAAGAAAATGTTTTTCTGAAACCTACATTACACCAGACCGCATCTCATGATTTCTGAATAATAAAGTATAATATTTATATTGAATTTATATTTTATATTGTATTGAAGGGTGCAATTCGTTGGCTCCATGCCGAGAACAGGAATGCCATCCGATTTGAGAATTATGTTTGAACACGGCAGCGATTATTTGGGTCCCTTGGGAAACGGGGTTGTTCTATTTATATAGTAGTAATAATTGTGTATACCTAGATTGTGTTGAGAATGAATGTATTTATTAGCGTGAATGTGTGATGTTAGAGGGTCGATGGCGGAATTTCGACCCTCAACTAAGTTTAGTTGTATATGTGTAAAGGAGGAATATCGAGCACTCCATCAACCTAATTGAATGAATGGTATGTAAATAGGGGTGGATGTATTTAAGAATGAGCATGAGTACGATTGGGTTTGGAACTGCATGGGTTGGATGCTGAAAAAATGCTCTCCTGTCCTCGGACTGCCAACACACGGGGTGGGTGATTCTTGAGTCTGCCGGCAAACGTACGTACGTACATGTGCGGATTTGAACCCTCTATAAATCTAAATCGAACCCGACATACTTACAAATGGGCTTTTTTTTAACATCGGCACCACCAGGGTTGATAAAACCTCTACTGTTGGGAACGCTCTATTAAAAAAAAATGTAATTCGCTATCGCATGTTCCAAATCGACCGGCATTCAAAACCATCTTCTCAATGGTACGTCGATGGACGGGTTCACTCTACAATTCATGTCGAGAACGTTTTTCTAACTCCTTCAACCTGATGATGAGCGTTTAATGCTTGAAATCCGGATAGTAGTAAACAACAAATCTTTGAGTAGAACCATCATTTACAAAAAGTGATTCTACATACTCATCCCACCTTCATAAAATTATATTCATAATTTCTACAAATATAAGTGCACGGTTCTTTTGTATTTGCGTTTACTTGACGCAAATCGACAAAAATCTGAACAGAGGGGTACTTAAAACGAAACAAACTTTATAAACTGTTATCGCCAATCGCAGACGATCCAAACTTCCGCTTAATGACCAAAGATTAATATACACCATGATCTTCAAACCTATGTGGACTTATGGTATCGAACTCTGGTAGTCAACCAACCATCCCAACTCCCAACGCATCCAAAGATTCCAATCGAAAGTCCTTAAGAAAAATAGATAACCCTACTTATTATGTATCAAAACTCGCCCTATACTGTGACCTTAATATTCCCCTTTTCCAGGAATAGCGAAAACCTATTAGAAAAAATTCCCTCGTGCCTTTCCAAAAAATCCCGATGCCTTGGTACATCAGCTCAGTTTCATTACCATCGCATATATTCCTCCACATCGTCTGAAAAGCCGATGGCCACATGCCATAGTGACAAAGAAAATTGAAAAAGTGGTCATTATTTATTTCTTCTGCAGGAGGTTCATCACTGAGTGATTTCTCCTCTACGTTTTTCATGTCAATTTTACCGTTGCAATTGTTTTATAGGTGTAAGAATCAATAAAAGGAAGAAAAAGGCCTTTGGTTGTTCTCGAACTAATGAGGGGATGCACCCAATATTTTCTTACGAGTTTTCTTTTACTGAAAATTCAAGCAGAAAGCCTGACCCGATGAGACCCATTTTCATACTGCTCTAGCCGTAGTGTGCGCATCACTGTTTGCAGTAGCGATCGCGATTTTTCGGTCGCGGCGTCTGAAAATCGCAAGTGCGTATCCGCCCTTATCTTAATGCGGGTCTACACCTATAAAAATGTTGCGCCGAATACGACACGGCGTAAATTTTTGTTCATGTCCGGGAATTTCTGTGAGTGTAGGACGTGACAACAGCAAAAATGTATCCCGCATTCAATGCACACGCCCCCGGTCGATTTTTTGGACGGACATCGAAGGATTTTCGCCGCATAAAAGCTCTCGATTCGGACGCTTCTTCCTCACGAATGACTGTCCACCAGTCTGCCTACAATTCGAGCGAAGACACGCCGCACGGCGTAACTATTTGTTCGGTAATAGTTTTGAATTCGCGCCGGAAATATTTTTTGGGGAAAGCATTCGGCGTAAATTTTTCATACGTGTGGACTTTCCCTTTAGATTTCACATAAAGAAGACCCTTTTATTTGAAAACAGGAAGCGACTCAGCGATTGGGGTCCGCAGATGTTATTCGCCCCCTGGGTTGATCGACGTGAGGTTGACGGTCCCTTCCACGATCATGACCACGTGTTCAACGGGCATCAAACAACTTACATTAACGGACTTAGCTTTTCGACCATCAAGTTTTTTACCATGAAAACAATTTAATTCTATCTTGTATAAATTTTTCCTCTTACCGGACAAGATTTTTGAATGGTTTATGTTAAGAAATTAATTTTTTTTATATTAAAAACAAGAGCACTTTCTCTCGGATTACTTTTTATAGTGTTCAGTGTGTTTATTCAGAAATAAATTGCACTTTAATATATGGCGGTGTCTTTCTGTCCCAGTATCATCGCCATAAAAAAACCCGGTCGTTCGATAAGAATTAAATTTTTCCACATTGTTTACTTAAAAGTCGTTTTAAAAAATGCTAATATTTCAAAATTTTCTCACTCAAAGGTTTAAACTAAAGTGTATACTCACGTTGTTTTCTTTTCTTAGCACTTCACAGCAGTACAGCGAATACAAAGAGTACAACACAGCCGGCACCACAAAGAAAGCGTCGAGGTTCGATTTACTTTATTGGAAGGGGATTAATAACAAAATAATTTAAAAAATGAGAAACTACTGGAAGAGAAAAACAACGGCGCACGGTGAAACTTGAAAGTAGACGCGCCCGACTTAGTTCTTGTAACGGCACTGGCCAAGAATTGACTGCCTAAACGTGAAACTGGCTCCTAAGTAGAGGGTCTCCCACTTCTGACGGTCACACCTCCCACCGCAGTATAACACTAAACCAGTGCCGTGGGTATACGCGTCCTATTCCGTTTCAGGCTTTGGGGTCGTTTTCTCTCGTCTGCACGACAGCGTCAGTAAGCGGCGGGGGGGGGGTTTAACGTCGATCTCTCAGGTCGAACGGTCGGCCCGTCGAGAGTAACGACCGGTCGAGATGCCCATTCATGATTTCATGATTTACACCGGGCTGGACGTAACAGGTAGCACACGGACTGCACTTCTCGTCGAGCAGGAAACGGGCGAGACACGGTATTGGAATTTTGGGTGCAGAACGTACTTTTTGGAGAAAAGAAAGAAGGACGGAGGGTGGTATTCGCAGATAACCATTCCATAAGATATTCTCCTAGTGAAACGGTTTAAACAGACCTGAAATGTCTTCTAATCAAAATATTCTGAATAGAATTTATATTACTGCATTTATTATAGTATTTCTTTGCTACAATATTTACGGGTGAATTATTGCACTAATTACTTAGTGGGTAGACCACAGGCAGCCGATCCTGTACAATATGGGAACTATTGAATACATATACAACTTCATAGCAATATGCCCAATCTTAAAATAACACTGTAAAAGGTGTTTCAAAAAAGAAAAATTGGACTGGGAAGAAGTTATTGTTTTTTACGAGGCTTCGCAACAGCAGAGGTCATATAAACCCTCAGGGTGCCGGTGTTTTTGAAAAAAAGCCCATTTCTAAGTATGTCGGGTTCGAATGCAGGGCCGCTGGATTCGAACCCGGGACCTTTACCTTACAGTGATGAGCGCTAAACCGTTGCGGTCACCGACGCCCCTAAGAAGTTATTAATTATTTAAATTGAAGAGAAGGTATCCACCACTTGAAATTTAATTGGATGTATGATCAGTAAAATTCTACCCCTTGACCACAATACTGATCCTACATCAAATTATTTGAACGGTAGCGACTGGGAATAGTCAGCTACGTGCTGCAATCATATAATTCCAATAACAAAAAAATTAATTGAACTTTTAGTCGGAACTTTATATTTCTATTTTTATTTTTAAATTTTGTGTTATAAACACTTCTGAGTCAACAAACGGACATAGTTCATGAAGTTTGTATTTGTAATGCTTGGTAACAACAAAAATATATTTTCTATTGCGAATATTAATAAAATGCATTTTTTATTATTATTATTACTCTGAATAGAGATTTTTCAATTCTGATGATTTAGGAAAAAACAACCAATAGATTTTTTTGACCGAATTTAACTACATTTTCAAGATGGTGGTAGTCAGTTAAAAGGCACAACAGCAAGTGCCAACATCAAGTCCTTCGAGGCCAAAAGACATTTTTCTTTAAACATTTTATATTGTATGATTATCAGTTTAAAAATTATGGATGGAAGCCAAATTTGAACTATGTAATTAAAAATAAATAGAAAGCCTACAAAACAGGCTATCAACAAGAGCCAAAAAACTAAACCAAGTGTTGGTATACATCTTTTGTTTATAAAACAAAAGATATATACCAAATAAAACAAGATTTCCTAAGAGAAAAAAAGATATCTGCACAGGATTGTTTCTGCATCGCCAAGTTTTGACGCATCATCTAATACTGCAGGACATCCTAAACTTTTTAGCCAGCGGACCCCTTTTCACAGAATAAAATCCAGGGTGGACCTTCTCATTCAAGTATTTAAAATTAGGTACTTGTAGTATATAGTAAATAAAAGCTTTATAAAATAGCCTAATTAGGTGATGGAGAGGGATACCACTATGAAAACAGACATTATATTGGCCTACTTAACTTTATTTACAAAATCCGGAACACAAAAATCAAATTGGACAGAACGGAATCAATAGGAAGGTAAAACTGGAGTCAAATTCAAAATAATAATTTGAACGTTAATGATTGATGAAAATGAGCAAAAATGAAGCGTGAGGATATTGCAGCCAGCAGAATTTGGGTATCTTGGGTATAATTTTTGATAGCTGGACGGATGTCGGATTCAGCATCTAGCATTTAGCAACTAGCTTCGGCATTTAGTTTTAATGCAAGTTTTTGTTTTCCAACGGAGCCAAAAACCCGTATTCACTTGAAGATAGTATGGTTGGCTTTGTCGAAACTAAAAAACGGTTTGACCATCCGTTCATGGTCTTGCAGCATTGTATTTCGAGCTGTTGGGATGTAGTGCACAAAGGACATCTCCAAACTTCGAAGGTGTTCACAAATTTCATCAATCAACGTCCGCAAGCTCCAGTTGTTTTCTTTTAAAAAATCATTTAACAGAGGAAAACACACCACCTCTTCCTTCTCAGCAGATTCAACCCAAAATTGGATTTTACTTTTAAAGGCGCAAACTTTGTCATCAGCGTCGAAAGTTGTGATACTCCGATTAATAAGACAGGTTACATTGCCATTTCTCATGATTGAAAATGTTGGCCAATTGGACTTTATGGTTGATCAACAGGGATAAGATTTCAGAACGTAATTCCTGTAATCGTGAAAGTGCTTTCACACGAGACAGCCACCTGACTTCTGTATGGTGAAACTGGGAATGATGAAGGCCTGCAATATCGTAATCATCATAGTATCGTCAAAAGTCTTGACTTCAATGGGCGCACTTGATATAATTAACAATTTGAAAAGTCTCATCCAAAAGCTTCTTAAAATTTGTTTTATAGCCAAAGCATGTCTGTGAAGAACACAATGACTGCTGCTGCAATCCGTCGATTCATCTTTTATTTTAGTCACTCCGATCGTTCGTCCAGTCATTACTTTTGCACCATCTGTGCACACGTCAATGCAATTCGAACATGGAATTCCGTTAGTTGTAAAAAAATCGTCCAACAAATGGAATATTTCGGCGCCCGTTGCATTGGCAGGAAATGGTTTGGGAAACATCCCAAGATAACAGACATAAGCCAATAAAATAGCCAACCACGCGACATCAGTTGATTCGTCGATTTGGAGAGAAAATAAATTGTGTTGGAATGGAGAAACCAACGATTAGTATCTGTCCGAAAGTATTGTTTCATAATGGCACCGAACTGCTTTTTCATCAAGCATAAAAGATACAATATCGTTAACACGCGGTTTTATGAGGGTTTCAGCGATGCTATGAACTTTACCTGCCTATGCCACTTGATAACTTATCAGGTAAGGCGCATTTAGTGAGTTTTCATTAACAGTTTTGTCATGATTTTTAATGAAATTTTGAGAAGCAGCCAGTTCAGTGCGCCTCCTCAAAAAATCAGTTTGTTTCTCCGGAGGTCTGGGTGTGTAACCTCAAAACGTCGGCGCAATTTAACTGGAACGATTGAACTGTTTGGAAGGACTGCGCAAATCATACACTGAGCTTTACCCTCGTCAGCTTCTATAAATCTCAAATCTAAGTAGCTGCCGTGGTACTTACACTTTTAAGATATTCCACTTCCATTGGCTGTATGGCCTGCACCTATTCGTTAACTTATAGAATTTGACCATGCTGGACCTGCTGAGGTGATTCATCTGAAGGCTTCATCTGGGTTGTCGACAGTCCTTATCGGAATGGTGTCCATCCGCCTTATCAACTCCAATTCGACGACATGAAGGTGATGGAGAAACTGCATGCTTCCTCAGATATCCTGATTTCAGCCACCGAGAGAGGATGAGGGTGAGGGTGAGGGTGAGGAGAGGAGAGGAGAGGAGAGGAGAGGAGTGAGTGAGTGAGAGAGAGAGAGAGAGAGATCTGCACAGACTTGTTTCTGCCGCTCTATTCTATGCCTCCGAAGTCGTCAGTGTCCAAAGTCTTATCACTCTAGTCCTGACTAGTATACGTTTAGTAGCAACTAGGGAATACTAAGGATCCTGACCCCTCTCAGATGTAATGTTTTTGTAAACCAAGCCCCTGATCCGTTGACAGTGTGTTTAAATCATGTATGGCTGGGTCTTTGAACAAAATGGAAACCAAGTTCTTACGAAGATGATTTGAAATTGGGAAATCAAGGAATTTACAAAAATGTGAGATTCCTTCTTGAGATATGTCAGATAATCTACAGTTAGTCGTCTTTTTGACATGTACTCCTTTCTGAACTGTACCATCTTCATTGGTGAGTATGGAGGATGGGATGTCCAATATTGGTAAAACTTACATGAACAAAAAGAATAAATATCGTGATTCTACGAGAAAAAGGCCAAGGAAATAAGCTCTAAAAGTCAAAAACCAAGGAAAAGAATGATAAGAAAGAAAGTAAAATTCAACAGACGAAATACTTTATTCAAGTACGCTTACAAGGTAGAAAAACATCGAGACCTCAGATAAGTCAAACGATAACAGTGAGGAAATGAAGGCGGAAAATAAAACTAATATATTCGAACAAAAATACAAAAAAAGCTGTACCTTGGAAAAGAGAGTTTTCACTGAAATTACTGTTCATTGTGTTTATTGATTTTGAGGACTTGGTGTAGAAGTCTCACTATTTAGAAAATCTATTGAAAATATACTATAAATAAATATATAAATAGGTCGAAAAATATAAATTACAACTAGTCTTACGAATGCTTATGATCGGAGTTGTGAGATTTCTTGATGTTATCTGCGGGGTGATGGAACTGTCATTTGGTCCGTCAACACACGCTGGTTTGGATAGGTTCGGTTAGATGCGTTTCGGCAACTTTAACCTTCTATGAACTGTCAGACCCAAAACTTAAAAATATGGAAGATAGGAAGTTATATAAAACTATCGGTAATAAAAGTGTTCATTTTCGTGCGAATTCCGGTGCATTTTTACCTCCTGAATCTGCATAACTTTTGCATATTTCACTATTTGAAAGTCAATCCGTTAAAGTAGGACAAACTTGTAATCCGACACGAATCAACAGTTAAAATAAACAAAAAATAAAACACCATTTGACCACTTTTTGAATTTATCAAGTCGGAATTGGATTTCCTATCGATACACTTCTGCTTACTCATGTGGGAGGACGTGTTATTCGTTTATAGCCGAATTCGATGGGGTCGATTATTTGGAAAAAGTGTTTGTTTAAGATT